TGACAAGTTGGGTTAAACTATGTCTGATAACCTATGGTAAATATTGTGTTTTGGTTTCTAGTTTACGATACTATCTTTATTCTAGTTGTGTGACGTATCACTCGAATGTCGTAGTAGGTGATTTATGCCACTTATTGCTGTTAAGGCATAGTTGCTAGACTGGTCTGCGCTTTTGTGTGTGAGATAACTTGGCTTGAGTTTTAGGCAGAAGTAATCTGTCTGGCATCTGTTGAGGCTAGGTATTGTAACTTTTTCTGTTGATACACTGGAATCTCATAAGAGAATGTAGCTGCTTTGTTTTGTATCTTCATGACTAAGTCAGTCTTTTTATTAATGCTTTGGTGATTTATGTGATGTTTAATGATTAATTGTGCTATTTATTTCCTGCTGTGATTAATTTGTACGAGTAACCATTTTTGTAGATTAGTAGAACTAATTTCTTGTTGTGCTACAGATTTATGACATCTTCCAGCAACTACCACCCAAGATCCAAGTTGGAGTATTTTCTGCAACTATGCCCCCAGAGGCTCTTGAGATCACCAGGAAGTTCATGAACAAACCTGTGAGGATTCTTGTGAAGCGTGATGAGCTCACTCTTGAAGGTATCAAGCAGTTTTATGTGAATGTTGACAAGGAAGACTGGAAGCTTGATACTCTTTGTGATCTGTATGAAACCTTGGCAATCACCCAAAGTGTCATCTTCGTAAACACCAGGAGGAAGGTCGACTGGTTGACCGACCAGATGAGAGCCCGTGATCACACCGTTTCAGCCACTCATGGAGACATGGACCAGAACACTAGGGACATCATCATGAGGGAGTTCCGTTCTGGTTCCTCCCGTGTCCTCATTACCACCGATCTTCTTGCTCGTGGTATTGATGTGCAGCAAGTCTCCCTTGTGATCAATTATGATTTACCTACTCAACCTGAGAACTACCTGCACAGGATAGGACGTAGTGGACGATTTGGAAGGAAGGGTGTTGCCATCAATTTTGTGACCAGTGACGATGACAAGATGCTCTTTGACATCCAGAAATTCTACAATGTCACAGTTGAGGAGCTCCCTGCTAACGTCGCCGATCTTATCTGATGACCTGAGGGCTGATATTTTGTTTGTGTCTTTAGGGAAGGTGTTTTGTCTGTCCAATTAGTTAAGATTCCATTTGGACAACGTGGTGTTTATTGGATGATAATTATTTATCGGATGACAGTTCACAGCTATCATTTTTATTACTATGCGTTTCAATTTTTCTTCCTTTATTTGGGAACATCACTAACCACGCTGTGGGTGTCCCAGCTTAAATTTTTGTAGGAGACAAAGTTTAATGTACTTTTGTATTTTAGGTTAAGAAGAGTTTTTTTCACCTCTGCTCATTTGCTTATCTTTATCTTCGTTTGTTTTAATTTTCCTGTCATTGATCTTGTTGGTCCGAAACTTGGCATACAAAGTGATGATTAGGGGCTATGTAGATTGCTCTCAAAAGTTGACTACTTTTCTCGTCTCTAATTTTTTGCCTCATTGCTATTATTTGGGTCAAACTTTTAAAACTTTGACCATTAATTGTCATTGATCTATAAGAGCTAAAATTTGTTTTAAAACAAGTAGACAGAGGAAGTAGCAAATATCAATAAGTAATTGCAATTAGAAGGAAAAATTGACAAAATATTGATGCCACTTTAGCTAGATCTATATGATGTAAAGATTGGTCTGTGAACCGACTTATAATTGTGTTTTAAAGGAGGTTTGTGAAACGGTGAACCCTTTGCCAAGGTCATCTGTTCCTATCTACGGAGTATAAAATATCAATAACAAATTCCTACCCCAAAGGATGGGGTGCAATTTTGTAAGGTTTTGAGCACTAACCTGTTAACCACCTCATTCAAACCCCACTTCTTACTTTTTTTGTTTTTTTTTTTTTTTTATGGAAGTAATTTTTTTGACGAAAGATGAAAGTGATTGAACAAAAGGGAAATACGGAGTATTAAATACATAGCCAATTGAAACTTTAAAGCCCTGTTTTTCTGAGCTTCTGGACAATGCACAGCAGAGCTTAAACACTGCAGAGAGAACATATTTCAGCATAGCAGAGCTGAACAATTCAAAAAGAACGGACCTAAGTGCATAATTTAGATGAAGAACACTTTATTAAGGCTAACCACCTATTTTAGATGGGAAAGTAGTCCTTAAATGTTGCATCTTTATACTTCTTTTGAAAAATGATTAAAGTTTTAGTATATGTACTAGGGTTTTTTTTTTTTTTTTTTTTTTTTTTTTGTGTTACAAATATGTCATTATTATTATTAATATAACAAAAAACCTACAAAGTCAATCAATTTACAGTTATTATTATTATTATTATTATTATTATTATTATTATTATTATTATATCTCAAAAACAAAAGTCATACAACCTACAATAAATTAGTGGGAAGCCGAGATACAATCTGGGCCCCCACTCCTCTAGCTATTGCAAATCCTACCCTAGTGAAGATATGAGCTGCAGCACGAGCTCCAATGTCTTGCGTCGTCGAGAACCTCTGAATCCGCTTCAGTAACGCAACAACCTCTTTCTCTAATTCCCCAAGCGAAGAAAAGGAGAAGGGAATGAAACCATATCCAATCGCCTGACATCGAGCTTCATACTTAACCCGCTTCCGATGAGCAGCATCAGCCACAACCCGCCCAAGAATGAAGTCAGATAGCCCTGACTGTGTCAAAGGAGAATAACCTGTCAAATCAACACAGACATCGCGACCACGATCCCATGAATAAAGTAACACATCCGCGGGTCTGAGGGCCCCTCCAGCCAACCCAATGTCAACCTCTTTTCTCGCTGAAATCCCAGAACGATAGGAAACATCAACAAGGGTATCCCGAACAACATTATGCCGATGTTTAATACCCACAATACCAACACAAGACACCGCGTGATCACCGAAAATATCTCCAGCAAAAACCCTCGAACAAGCAGAGCACAACGTCGAGATAGAGAACAATGGAACACCCAACCGATAGGACAACACACAGCGATAAGTCTTGGCATTCATCGTCTGACCCAACCTTGAAATAGGAACCGCCCGAAGCCAAGCAGAGGTGTGATCACCCTGCTGTGATTTCCATAATGCTGATTGTCGAGGAGTTAAAGAATAAGCAGATTCTGCAGAAGCGATAACCTTTGTGAAATATATATATGTCTATTTCTTCATGAGTTTAGGGACAGCGACCTCACTAGGATTACTCAAAATGTCAGACTCCCCTGTTCCATTAAACAGACTCAACGCATCCTCAAAGGCTCGTCCAAGACCAACAATGCCAGCATGCCGAAGAAACTACTTTTACACTTATTATTATTATTATTATTATTATTATTATTATTATTATTTTTGAATTGACATGTTTGGACTTTTACACTTATGTATAATCATACAATTAATATCTTTTAGTATTAAATTAGTTTAAGTCCCGTGCAATGCACGGTTTTTACTTAGCATATTTATAAATTATAATGTTAATTTAACAATAATTAAAAATAAAAATCAATATTTTTAATTGAAACAATACTTGATTTTCTTTTCCAGTGAATTTTATATTATATTGATATCAAAAGTTATTTTAAAAAAAAGAAGCAATATTTAATGATTATAGGGTTTTATATAAGATTAAAATGTTATGTTAATTATAACCCGTGAAATGTACTTATGTACCCCATATATCCCTATTTTGTTGGCATGTTTTGAATGGCACAATGTTTTATAGAATGCTTTGACGGTATAATGTTTTATACAAATTTAATTGAATATTTTTTTTTGTGACAATTAATAATCAAGGTTTTTTAATTTTTATTTTATAGTTATCGAATTGTAGTGTTATTTTTATAAATAAATCAACAATTCTAAAAATATATATAAATAATAAATAAAAGGAAATGTAACAATCCCGGTTGGAGCAAAAAATCTTTCAAAGGAAAAAAATATATGATGTAGAATGATATGAACTATGGAAAACTGGAGTTTTACATTATTCCAATATTCCTTATATTACCTTATATGTAGTATATGTTTGTTTGATATAGAAAAATACCTATTATAAAATATTGTATGTCAAAATATTTTCATTGATTAAATGCATATACTTTATATGTAGTTGTCAAATTGAATGTTAAATATTATATGATATTATAAAATAATGTTCATAAATATTGTTAAAAAAAGGAAAGTAAAAGTGTCGGGAATTTTTTTAATCAAAACATGACAAATGTCATATTAGAATCGCCTTTAGTATTATGTTATTGATTGATGATATATATTTATAAAAAATAAAAGTTAATAATTAAAAATAATTTGTAGACATATTAGACGTCAAGGTGAAATTAATTAAAGAAGAAACTACTTGTTTTTTTACTTTCGAATAGAATCATAAAACGACTTGAATACAAACTAGTTAAAAGAAACTAAAAATCATTGCCTACATATTAAGAAAACAATTTATTTTTTTAATTTTCTTTTTCCTTCCATATATACAACCTAAATTATACGTAGTAATTTCTATTTTTATCTTTTATATATGCTAAAACGACTTGAATACAAACTAATTGGAAAAAAACTTAAAATCATTGCCTATGAAATTAACTATTTTTTTTTTATCTTTCCATAAATAATTACTTATAGTTCTAATATAAATCAAATAATAATAAACTAATAATAATATAAATAAGTGGGAGATATTACCCTTAGGTACCCTTTCATTGGTAAACAATTGTCCTCGATTTTTCGTAAAAAAAAGCTTCAGCTTTCCCTTTCTCTCTCCTCCTCAGATCCGGTTAGAGTTCCTCCACGGCTCTAACCCTAACTTCAATCACCACTCTCGATTTTTCGATTCGTTTCAATTTCAATCATCATTAATTTCAAGTATGCTTCTTCATCTGATTCTTAATTTTACGCTAATTTGTTGGATTTTCACCTCTTTTTCTTCAATTTTGATGTTGTTGGTTTAGCTGTATTTTTGGCGATTGTGTGAGATCTGTGGTTTGAGATCTGTTGATGTTTTAATCTTTTTGTTGATTTGATGTTTGATGCGTTTTGTATCGTATAAATTAGCTGAATTATAGATGAATTTTGTGAATTAATGCTGTTGCTTGATGAAATTGACGATCTTTTAGGGAGGAATTAAAGTTGAATTGTGATCGATTTGCTAATTATTTTTGTTGATTGATTTTTCTGATATCTATTGAATGTCGGAATTGTTGGTAATTGTATTCATTTTGTGCTGATAACATGGAATTTTGTTGATTGCTGTGTTGTGGAGTTCAAATTTTCTTACCTGCACAGCTTAGCTTAGCTTGATTATGCATCGATTTATATCTCCTGTTCTGCATCGTTGCGTAGTGATACGGAATTAGTATTGATGATGATGCGTCGCTGTGTAGTGAATCAGACTTAGGGCCGAGGCGTTTTTTGGTCTAAAGTATGATTCTTTCTTTAATCTATTCTGTATTGGACAGTCTGACAGGATGATATCTTAGATCTTTGGAAATAAATGTTAATGGTTGTGTCAAGCCTTATGATAATTTTCGAGTGATTTCATTGAGAAACCCTCTGTAATAATCCCTTTTAAGTTGAACATCCTGAGAAATCCAATCATAATTAATTTTTATTTTAAAGATGATAACTTATTCGAGACATCTCAAATTAGTACGTTCTTTTTTGTATGATATTTATTTTTGAAAGGGAGGCTACATTTATTCTTTAATGAATCAAGAATAAAGCACATGGCTTTGATATTAATATCAAGAGGCTAGTATTTTGTATCTATCCCAGGCTCCCAGCTACTTAAACGGTAAATAGGAGTTCATGTAAATGAGCTTTGATAATGTTAGAAATCTTTTTGTGTTTATTCTTTTTTAAGTTTTGTAATCAGTTTGCTTTTTTCAATGTGTTAATGGGCTTTGGTTGTACATTATGCAGTCATGGCTGGAGCTGCTCCTGAAGGTTCTCAGTTTGATCCTCGCCAGTATGACACCAAAATGACTGAAATGTAAGTTTGTCCACCTCCTTCCTTTCTGAAGTCATACACCCAATTCATTTGCTCTTGAGCATTTAGTAAATAAGGACCCGTGCTTTTAAATCTATATTTGTATGTGGGAAGAACTTTTTGCTCTTTTCTTTTTCTGACTTCCTTTAATCCTATGATGAAGGCTTTCTGAGGAAGGAAACGATTTCTTCACTTCATATGACGAGGTTCATGATAGCTTTGATAAGATGGGTTTGAAAGAGAACCTTCTCAGAGGAATCTATGCTTATGGTAATTTAAAGATGCAATTACTTTAAATTAAAATTATGTGCTTACTCTGTCCCTTGGTTAATTTGTATTGATGTCTGCTGCCAGGTTTTGAGAAACCTTCAGCAATTCAACAAAGGGGAATTGTCCCCTTCTGTAAGGGTCTTGATGTGATTCAGCAAGCCCAATCTGGTACTGGAAAGACTGCCACTTTCTGCTCTGGGATCTTGGAGCAACTGGATTATGAATTACTGGAATGTCAAGCTCTTGTTCTTGCTCCTACTAGGGAGCTTGCTCAGCAAATTGAGAAGGTTATGAGGGCTCTTGGTGACTATTTGGGTGTTAAGGTACATGCTTGTGTTGGTGGAACAAGTGTTCGTGAGGATCAAAGAATCCTTAATGATGGAGTACATGTGGTTGTTGGTACCCCTGGTCGTGTCTTTGACATGTTGCGTAGACAGTCCCTTCGTGCAAATAGCATCAAGATGTTTGTTCTTGATGAGGCTGATGAAATGCTTTCTCGAGGTTTCAAAGACCAGGTACGCTGCACATTTTATTTGTATATTCATTTGCAATTAGGTTTTCTGCATTGCAATATTTAATGAGACTGTTTATGTTTTGTCCTGCCTATTTCTATGTATTATGATCATTGGAAATCTGTACTTATATGAATGTTTCTTGTAATGGTTGAATAACTATATAGGTTACTATTCTGCAGTTTTTTCTATTTACAAATTACACTGCTTAATTATTTCATAAAGCACTTTGTGGATTTGCTAATAACTCCTATTCTTCTTTCCTTCTCAATCAACCATTATAGATCCTTGCCTATCTGCCATGGGTACAGACACTTGTCACTTCTTTGTAGGCTAAATTATGATGTTAGTTTCATGAAACACTTAAGTCTAACACTTGGACACTTACCTTTGTTTATTGCAAGTACCTTGTCTCTAAGAATTATAGAGCCTAGTGCCCTTTTCCTAGTCTTACTTGTTGGGTGGTGTGTGTTTAAAAGCTGGCTCTACTTCCGTATTTATTTTATTTTTTAATTTTTGGGTTGGCCTTTTGGATATGATGTGGTTTGTTCTCTACTTTAGTTGTATATTAATTTTTAGGTGTTGCTTCCTATTGTGGGGTTGGAGTGGGGGTTGTGAAAATCGGTGGGAAGGCTTATATCATTCTTCTCTTTGGATGCAGTCTTATGTTTTAACTATATGATCTACGCTGTATCTTTTTTACCATAAGTGGCAATCAGAAATGGATGACTATAAGGATGAGGCTGTGAGGGATTCAGGGGAAGTGGTTGGAGTGTTTAATTACTGGTTTTTTTATTATAATGTTTGCATGGTGGTGTTTTTATGCACTTTTTTGATTTTTTTTTAAATTTTAAATTTTAAATTTTTTAATTTATGTGGCCTTTTATAAGTTGTTTCTCTGTGGGATCTTTGTGGATATGCTTAACAAATTCTGGCTGGTTATATGGGATGGCATAGAAATTTGGTGTCATGTTTACAGCACTGCTATATATGTTCTTGTTGTGTGCTATGTTGTTTTCAGTATGTTGCCTTGTTTATTGGTGCCATTTTGCATTAGAGGCAAACCTTGATAGTGTTCTGTTGAGTCTATTATTGTCCTATTACTAACCAAGTTAGAATGATTGGTAGAATTTATTTGTGTGGTTAATCTTTCTTGTTTAAAAAGCTTGGTGTTTCTACTACAGTCATGTTTATATGATTTTGTTGTGCGAATGCACAAAAGAATCAATGGGGTTTGGAGGCATTCAGCTGTAGTAGTTACTCTATATTAGTTTAGATAGTTATAATTCAAATAATGATCCACTGCTAATGTAGTACTCTGACTTTAGATATATAGTTAAATATTAGTAAAAAAGATAAAATTGATTATATGAAACTTATTATTAAAACCTATTTAACAACATATTTAATGATAAAATGTATTTTTAATGTCACTAAAAAACTATGGGCAAAGTTAATATATGAAACTGAAATAAAGTCCTGGGATGGAGAGAGTAATATGGAATATTGGGGGAATAGTTAATGAGGAGTTTTCTACGTGGGCATGCTACATGTGGGTCTGTGGGAGTAGGGTTACTCGTAAATTTGACTATGCAGTATTTGGGACTTGGTTAATGCCATACACTTATTTTTCTAAATTGCTGTGGGTTAAATATGTGTACTATTGGTACTTATTTTTTCGTTTTTCCTTCACAGATCTATGACATTTTCCAGCAATTACCCCCTAAGATCCAGGTGGGAGTTTTCTCTGCTACTATGCCTCCTGAGGCCCTTGAGATCACCAGAAAGTTCATGAACAAGCCTGTGAGGATTCTTGTGAAACGAGATGAGCTCACCCTTGAGGGTATCAAGCAGTTTTATGTGAATGTTGACAAAGAAGAATGGAAACTTGACACTCTTTGTGATTTGTATGAAACCTTGGCAATCACCCAAAGTGTCATATTTGTGAACACCAGGAGGAAGGTTGACTGGTTGACCGACCAAATGAGAGCTCGTGATCACACCGTGTCTGCCACACACGGAGACATGGACCAGAATACTAGGGATATCATTATGCGTGAATTTCGCTCTGGGTCATCCCGTGTCCTCATTACCACTGATCTTCTTGCTCGTGGTATTGATGTGCAGCAAGTCTCTTTGGTGATCAATTATGATTTGCCGACTCAACCAGAGAACTATCTTCACAGGATTGGACGAAGTGGACGTTTTGGAAGAAAGGGTGTTGCCATCAATTTTGTGACCAGTGCTGATGATAGAATGCTCTTTGATATCCAGAAATTCTACAGTGTGGTGATTGAGGAGCTCCCTGCCAATGTTGCGGATCTTATATGATAAGTACAAGTTGTCACTTTGTTTGTGTTTTGAGGTAAGATGTTTTGTCTGTCCAGCTTACTAAAGATTTGGGCAAATTACTGCGTGTTGTCTTTTCCTTTTTTTCTCTATTATGGGAACATCACTAAATTGTGTTGTGGATGCCCCGGGTTAAAATTTTGTAGGAGCTTAGAGACAAGTTTAAATTATACTCTTTATCCTATTTGGCTCAAGGATCGTGTCCTCTGTTGCCCTGTTGGCATATATGCTGTTCGTTTTGGCATGATTTTGGTTTTGCTTGTAATTCTGCATTTCTGCATGCCCGTGAGCCAAACTATTGGCAGATGGATTGGTTAGGCATATTCTTTGGCTAAAATTAAGAAACCTGAAACCTTTTCTACGAGCCTGAAATGGTTTTAGTTATTTGTATTTGGAAGACAATCTATTCTTTGACAACACAATAACGGTACCTTGACGTACCATTTGCCTTTATTACGCCATTTACTTCCATTTTTTTTCACATTCAGCTAAATCTAACCATTTGCTTCCAATTTAACCTCCTTTCCTTGTACCATTTGTTTATTTTGCTGCTTCCTTTAACCCTGATTTATTGTCTTCATGTCATTTCATCATCATTACAGTGCATTCTTGGATTGAAGGCAAAGAGGAAGATGGCCTGCTGAGAGGATGTGGTGTTATAGTGACGAGGGAAGGGGTGTGAGGTGATTTTTACCCTTTTAATGGAGGTAATAGCTCCGTCACCCACCCCTTAGGGCGATAACCTCCACAATGAGGGTAATTATCCTTTCTGTCAACTATCACCACATCGTTTCATCAACCACTTCTTGTTTTAGACATGATTGCCTCCTTATTGACGAGGAAGAGTGTTGTGTTGGGGGGGGGGGGTAAACCCTTCAAGTGAGGGCAATTGTTCCCCACCCCATCCTCTAGGGCTATCCCTCTCTTTCCTTTCCCATCAGAAGTTTTCTGAATGGCTTATACATAATAAACTTGGTTTAGTTAGAGAGTCTAATCGACGGATTAGTGTTAGGAGATTCACGGAACTAGCTATTACTTACATTGATTGTTGTATTTTTTTGTGTAATTGGTAGATCCATGCATTCATCAATGTTAATTTGAGAGTATGTTTGTACTTGTGCTTGTGAGATTAATAAAAATTGAAGCAGTGTTTCTTGTAAAGAAAAGGAATCGGCCTAGCCAAATCTGAACATGCACTCTGTATATCTCCAGGTTGAAAGTTGCCATAGCATTATCTAAGGTTGTTCAAACCTGTTCAGAAAAAAAAAAATACTACTTCTAAATAGCCAAAAATTACTAGATAGTTCGAACAAATAATAGGTTCGATACTTAAATGAATAACTTGGAACTCCAAATAATTTTGGAAAAATTGATGGGAATAATCCCACCTTTTGAGCGTCGGAGATTAATAATCCCACCTTTGAGATTCTTTTTAATAATCCCACCTTTGATATCAATCCGCTCAAAATGATCACGTGTGACCAGTAACCGATTGAAGAGGTAATTTTTTTAATTAATTTTTTTACACGTGTCACAATTTGATTTGCCCAAAATAAAAAAAATAATAATAAAAAAAAGTAAAAACTAGAAACTAAAAAAAAAAAACACCACCACCTAAGCTACACCACAGCCACCACCATCCCCACCACTAACCAAACCCAGACATCAGAACCACCACCCCACCACCCAGACCCAAAACCACCGCCACCATTAGCCGCACCCGAAACCACCGTCCATCAATCTACCCCAGCCAACCCCACCCCAATACCACCTTCAAAAAATCAAAAACCCACCAAACCCAAACCACCTTCAATAATCGAAAACCCACCAATCGGACTGAATCAAAGCCGGGGAAAAGGGAGGGAGGCCGAGATCGAGACGGAGGAAGGGGAGACCACCCAAACGGACCGGAACCACCACCCAATTTAGCCCCGAAACCACCGTCACCAAGAAACCACCGCGCTGGTGGGATTTCGAAAAATTGAAACCCACCAAACCAGACCCAGAAGAAGAAGGTCGGAATCAGGGTGGGGGAAGGGGCGAAGTGAAGAGAAGGGAGGCGTGGTGGTGGTTTGGCGGCCGAAATCGCGACGGTGAGGGTGGGGGGGGGGGGGGTTTAAATGAGCCTGGGTTTCGTGGAATCGTGGGTGAACGAGGGGGTTACGTTGGTGATTCATGTGGTTCAGGGGAGGGGGAGGGTCTGGCGCTGTCACCAGCGCTGTCGCCGTCGTCGTGTCTGAGGGATGGGTGGTCGGAGACTAAGGGCAGGGGCGGGGATGGTGGCTAAAGCCTGAAATTGGTGAGTTTGGTTATTATTATTATTATTATTATTATTATTATTATTATTATTATTTTACAAAAATCTAATTTTTTTAAAAAAATTTAATTAATTTTTTTAAAAAAATTTAATTAATTTTTTTTTACCAAACACAGGCTGCCACGTGTCATGTAACTTGTTATAACAGGTTACATGACCGGTTGGGACTATTTTTAGCAAATTGGGTATAAAGGTGGGATTATTAAAAAGAATCCCAAAGGTGGGATTATTAATCTCCAACGCTCCAAAGGTGGGATTATTCCCATCAATTTTTCCAATAATTTTATACTACGTTTATAGATCAAATACTGTAAATAATTACTCCCTCCGTTTTTGAATACTTGCTCAATTTCTCCATGCGCGGAGTTTAAGGAGAAATTGGAGAAAGTATTAAAATATGGAGATAGTGGGGTTGGTGGAAGGTAAATTGAAGAAGAGAGAATCTAAAAGTAATAAAATTGGGTCCACTAGTTGAGAAAAATGAATTAAATATTATAAAAACTTTCCAAATAAGGAAATGAAACAAGGATTTAAAAACGGCCACAAAAGGAAAGTGGAGCAGATAATCCCAATTTAATGTCCATCAGTATCAGCAATCAGCTGGGGATCTCAGCCTGTGCACCGCTCTAATATCTAGATGTGGCATAAAAACAACTCAAATCATTCTTTGGCATACAACATTCCTTCCAATTTGAAATTAGGGCCTATTCTGATTTATTAAGCTGAACTGAATTGATTGGAGCTGAACTGAACTGAATATTCTATGAGAAAAGGAAATTATGAACTGATTGGAGCTGAACTGAACTGAAATTGTTGAGAGTGTTAGATGAGCATTTAAAATATTTCTTAAAGTGAGAATACCAAAGTTTTATAATTGATACTTCGTATTAAACGCTAATTAGATACATTAATAATGGGCAAAGATCTGCATAGACAAAAGTAAAATTTCAAATATTGCACTTACTAAAAAATAGAGGAAGTAGTAATTTGGTAATTTACCTACATGTTCATTAAGTACCTTGTAACTAACCCTTGATCAACAAAAACTTCCAATGCTCTCAGTATACTCGAAATACCTCTACGATAATACAAATTTTTGTATGCGGCAGGGGTTACTTGTAGGGTGTTGCTGGTTTAGTCAGGGCTTACTTGTAAGGTGACACTGGTTTTAGTCAGGGGTTACTTGTAGGGTGTTACTGATTTGGTATGGGGGTTTGGTTTGGGTACAAGTAATCCAAGAATACAAATAACACTTACTCAAAATACAAGTAACCCCTGACAAAATCAATAACAACTTACCAGTAACCCCTACCGCACCATGTGGCATGCCGCACTGAAAACTCTTTGCTACGATAAATATATCACAGTTATAGATTTGGTAGTGCTCCCAAACCTCCACAGGGAATATGATCTTGAGATTCTTAACTATAATATTCGATTACATCTCCAAGCACCCTTTCCGCATTAGTAAAGGGTGGTCTTAACTCTCAAAGAACATCAATGCAAGAATTGAATTCTCATTGGCAATGTTTTGTGGTGAATTGGATCTTATTCTTTTGATGATTCTATGACGCAAGCGTTAAATCCGGTGAATTTGTATGGATGGGGTTAAAGACTTAAAGCTAGGCTTCAATAAAATGTGTAAACTTTGGTGTTCTTTTACTTTAGGCATGTTTTTCTTTGATCGAATAAACCATTTATAATTGTAGAATATTCTTGGGTTTTTGCTTTTATGATTGGATGATAGTTGTGTGAATAAATTTTGGTCGAGATTCGTATCCCATCTTTTTTTATTGAGAACATGTGCTTAAACTCTAGTTTGACCAACTCTTTTCTTTTCCATTTTCCCCCCTTTACAACCTCTTATCGTTTGTTCACTCATGTACGTGTAGTCTAGGTGCATCAAAAAGTATAATTTCGCCTTAAATCATTCAAAATAGTTTTTAGGCCCGGTCGTTGTCCTTGAGTTTGGCTTTTTCTGATTGTACATGCTTACTAGCTTTCTGCTTTATTATCCAACAAAGTCATACTCATGCGATCATACTTACTGCAAGTGGGATAATACCGGTGTGAAGTCTTGTGAAAATTCCCTTACCTTGGACTGTAATAATGGTAGCAAATCTATTTGTATTGAGATTAAAAGTATTACTTGATTCAAAATTTAGAGTTTTATTTTTTTTTACTAATTTCTAGTTTTTGTATATTTTAATTACAAATGCCAACGAGAGGTAAGAGTTAGAATAAAGTACCGGAGTACATGCACCCCTTTTATTTTTGTGACGTTTTGTACTGTAGTTGGTTAAGCAAAAAAAAAAAAAAAAAAAAAAAAGAGTTAATTTTTATATTCAATTTTTACATTTATGTTTTTAACTAAAGAAAATTACGATCAAGGGAATACATAGCCTAAAATGCAAAGAATTTTTAAGAACGAAGGGAGGATTTAGTATTTGAAATCATCACTCTAAAATAAGTCAAAATGTCAAATTTAATATAATAGGGGTTGTAAGGCCTAATATCGAAAAAGTGAAAATTCTTTCGGAATTATTTAATTATATGCGACCATAAATTTTAAAAGAGGAAATAATTTTACGATCAACTTTAAAATTGAATGTACTGTAAATAAACATTAGATAATTTAAATCACGAGCAAAGTTCCTAATGCATTTGGACAAGAATGAAACATACTTCGTAATTAAGAAGTTATATGGAGAAAGATAAAGTAATTTTATGATGTTCCTAGTTGCTTGGTATTCCACTATCCCAGGTTGACTTTGTTAGAACTAGCTTTGATTATTATTACATTGTTAGGTCCAACTATCTTTTCTTGGGCCTTGCTTATTCACAAAATGGCTATTCATTGGGCCACTTGCTCTTTATTGGTATTAAGTGTATAAGTTATTAACCTCATTTGCTGGAAAAGAGGCAGGGAAGGGTTATACTAGCAAGCT